TAGAAAACTCGGAAAATTATGAAACAAATTCGACAGGGCTGGCGGGGCAGTTAGGACAAATACTTAATTCAATAATGGTGTAGGTGCTTAACAAGCTCAATGAGCTACTTTAAAAATTGCATTGCAAATGAAGTTTATTGGGGAATACGTGGCCGAAAGACTTGGCTAACGTTTTGAGACCTTAGATATTAGCATGGCAGAAAGATACATTTTTGCACAGTGCGGACCTGTATGAGGGAAGTTTGATTCGCTGCATCGCGATAACTTGCAGCCACAGCTGGTCTTTGTTGTGCGCGCTACTCTTAATTTCGCTTCATGCTCGACTGGCGCACTTTTGCCCTTTTGACTCTATTTTGAGCGGCAGCCTTGGTGCCAGGAGCCCTTGCAGTATCCAGCATCCAACAGGCTGCATCCCTGCATTCTGCCCCTGCTTTTCGCAGTCTGCGTTCCGCATTTAGCTTCTCTTAAGGCCAGAGCCAGTTCTTGGTTTCTCGACTAACATTTTAATGAGGAGCGCCTGGCCTGATATAATGCGTTTTGAAGGCTTTTTATGTTCAAAAAGAAACAAAAGACGTGGAGGCAGCAGCATAAGTGAAACAAAACCGAACCGAGCAGTTCGCCAATTAACAGGCGCGAGGAGTTGTTTCCGGAAATTAACCCCTTTGGCCCCGTAATGCGCCCGAAACGGCGAAAAGTTGATTAAAAGAGGAATTTAATTTGGATATTGTTTGACTTTTTGCGCCACCGCGGCTATGGCGCCTCACTGTGCAACACTTTTTAATGGCTTAAAAAAGAATGGGCGGCTAAGCGGCTTACAAGGGCGGCGGGCGGCGGGCGGCAACCAATAAAAAATGGTTAAGGGGGCTCAAAGCCACCGAAGATAAATAAATACCCCGATTAAGCATTGCATTATAAATGTTAGTGAGACAGAGAGTTTTTCAGCAAGTTTTTTCTGCCACTTTTTGTGGCTTTAATTTTACGGCCACATTGCGAGAATAGTTTATCCTTTTTTGCCGTAGTTGTTTGTATTAATTAGCACGGCTCGCTACGGAGCTTATTTTATGTTTATGGGTGGGTTGTTTCGACTATTATTTCAGTTGACGCCTTTCGGTCCAAGAAAAGCTACGGAACTTTTCAGAATTTTCCAGCTTCACCATTTAACTTAGTGGTTACTTAGCGGTTTTCCATAAAGCTATTAACTCACCATTACCGAGGTCTGAAGTAAAAATAGAGCCAGGCTGGGCATAAATTAACCGTAAAGCGAAACACCGAAAATCACTCAACTAAGAATACGCAAAGTAAATGAAAAAAGAAAATCTCTGGAAACGCTTCGGTGGGTATCGAGGCAAAATAAGCTAGAACAATGAATCCAAAAGTGGGTCCATCTACGAGGCCCTCTCGCTTAACCATTCCCCACCAAACTGTTAACTTTATCGACTTTTGCAAGTCAATTTCATCAATTAAATTGAAGAAAAAACGCAAATGCGATTTATTATCGACAACGCGGCCCCTCCCTGCCACATGGCAGAGGCATTAAATATGCACGTAGGCACACATATGTAAGAGCAACATATGATTCGAAAGGGTTTTTTAAATATTGACTTCTGTCATTTTGCAGTCACAGTCAAACAGACTCACGCTTACATACTGGTTTGATTTCATTTACATCACATTTATTTGCATGAACCTATTTATTTCCATCAGACTCGACCGCATTTAAATGAGCCACTATGACTGCACATAATTAACAGTGGAAAGGTGAAAGTCTATCAGAATTTAATAGCATAATACATTGCAGTCACATAATCCCATATTGCAGATATTTGTCACACAGATATATACAAATCATCTGCCATGCCGCCCTTGCTCGCCCTTTGGAGAGTGTTTTGTCTGCCATTTTTCATCTCCTGCGCAATTTTGGTCTTCGGCAGTCTGACAATGGAACCGATGGCGTCGGAGACGATGGCCACATTTGGGTAATGCGTTGGGGCTGTCGTCTTGGCTGGAGCTCCTGCCACCCAACCTCTCGGGCTGCTTCTTTGATTAGTAAAGAAAACGTAACTTGGCAGTCAAATCTCATCGGCCGTCAGGTCAGCCAAGTTATTCGGAAGATTCTGGACACTTAAAGTGTGCCTTTTCGCACTTAAAGCATCTTTCCTTGTTCTTTGGACAAAGTGTTTTCAGACCCTTTGACGGACTTTATTCTCGGTCCCTTTTTCTAGTCTGGTGGCCATGAAAGTATTTTCTGGCCCCCCACCCTGCCGGGGAAATTCAATCAATAATCCTTTGGTCGTTTGCCTCTCGAATGTGTGAAAGTGATAAAGGAACGGCCCTCCTCTGATAAAGTTTCAAATATGAATCGGTAAACACAAAGTTTGCGCTTTTCAGCAACAAGTTCAAGGACATTCGTTCCATGCTGAATGTCACGGATGCACACTTTATGGCTCTTGAAGCTGGAAATCCTTGGCGGAAGGGGCAGTTGGATATGGATACGTGAGCCATGGCTCTCAGCGTAATATATGATCCCCATCTGTTGATATCTGCATATCAGGCAGTGCTTGAGCCGAAAATCAATCTGGGAAATGCTAAAATTTCTTTTGCTGCGAAAGCTGGAAAACTTTTCAGTCGAGAGTGATGCTGTCATCTCCTTGGGGGAAACGTTCACGACTTCCGTGCCGAGAAGTTGAAATTAAAACATTCCTCGCAAGTTCTGGGCATCTTTCAGCTTCCGACTCCCGTCTGCAGCTGTTTTTTTATTGCCTCTTTTGTTTCTTGCCAGCAGTTGTAGGTTCAGCCATGTCTGTCTGGCAGTTACTTACTGCTCCGTCTCGCTCTGTGTCTCCTGCGACTCTGTATTGCCCCGTGGAATTTATGTGACTTTTCTGGCTCCTTTGGCCCTGGGGCGGGATGAGTGGGTGTGGGTGTGGGTGGGTCAGCATCGATGGCATAATTGGAAAAGTTTAGGACACAGTATCTCTGTTGAAACTAGGGCTAAGCAGCTCAATAAGAGGTCAAATCTAGTTGTTTCGTTCTGATGGCCATAAGTCTTTGCCTAATATCGGCTTAACTTACCTCGTCCCTTCCATTTGGCACCTCAAACGAGATCCTATTAGCATTTTCCATCCTACCAGGGACCCGCTTTCCTCCCATACCATTTCATACCATCCACTCTCTTTCTTCCTATGTGCCGTGTCCAGAGGGACGGACAATTTTATGCGAGTTTCCAATTCAATTTCGCATTAAATATACTTTCTGTCACTTTTTCTCATCTTCAATTTCAAACATTTTATTCGATTTACGTTTATTTATCTGTTGGTTCTTCCAAGTTCTGAATTAATTTTCTTGAATCGCATGAGCAAATCAGATGAGCAAAGAGCTACCCACTGAACCCAATTCCGTTTATCGCTCAGAACGCCTTAAGAGTGGTTGCTCAGATTTTACAGAAAACTCCTAACCCAGAGGGGGGAAGTACATATTTTCATTTCGGTAGTTAAGTTGCTGAACGAGAACGTTCTTAAATGTGGATTCTATTGGATTCCATAAACCCAATATGGATTTAAATTTCCCAAGAGCACGCTCGAGTGTTGCCTAAAAGTGTCTTCTGGCAAGTAATGTAGTTCTATGGCATTTTCCCAGTATTTGCGACTAGGATGAGTTGGCGGGTTCAAACTCGCAATGACCCGAGCTCCAACTTGGCGTGAAACTCTGCAACATTAGCCGCTAATTGCGGGAACAGCAGACGTCAGCACTTAAGCCCCTCGTCCCCGATCCCCCGCAGTCGCAACTCCGACGCAATTCCCTGTTTGCATTGCTCCAGAGCTCGTTGAAATTTTATGCTGGTTCTCCACGGTTCACTTTCTCCGGAGTCGGCGACTTGCATTCCCGTTCAAATTAATAGTGTGAGGCTCCGCAACCATCGCTCCCATTTCCCAAAGTTTTCACATTTCAATCATTATATTAATGCAAATTATTGGGGGCAGAGAATGCTCGCCATATGCTTGGACAGCAGTGGAAACGAGAGGCCCACTCTGATACACAGAGAAGTACACACATGCGGGAATGTGTGGGGAGATGGTGAGAGCTCTGAGGGGATTGAATAACCGGATGTTGGGCTGCGGCGATCCCACCAACTTCCGCTTGCAATCGCCTCACAAAGCGGCACGCCTCGAATGAATCTCAATGCCTGGCTGGTTCTGGATCCATGAACATAGGGGAAGTCGTGGAACATTAGTGGGGTCGGGGCCTAGGTACGGCTTTCAATCAAACGTCAGCCGGCGATTTTCCCCGATTCACGGCCCATTTCGTCCATTCATGGCTCATTGTCACCGCCGTGAAGGGTGCAGCGATGTGGGGCTGCAACAGTGAGAACCCTTTATTAATTTCAATGCATCATCCCTCGATAGCGCCCCCTGACCCCTTCCCCCGCTTCAAGAGATGCTTTTGCTGAGGACACTCCTCAATATCTGCCCCTTCATTTACATGCTTCAATGAGTGCTGGCAGCTGCCTGGAAGTGGCTGCATTCATCGGGGCTATATGTGCGCATACTTAGGGGTACTGAAAGGCAATGTGCGAGGCCGCCCAATAGGGCCCCCATGTTTGCCTACACAGAGCTTAAATATTACCCGCCACACCAGCTTCCTAGTAGGCTCAAAGTTGTCCTGCGGATGTACATCAACTATTCCCCTGCCGGGAATACTTTCGGCAAAAGTGACTGGCCCCTAATCTCGGTACACTCTCAAATAATTATCGACCTCTTTTCGACTTGCGTGGCTTATATCTCGAAAGAGGTTGAGGAAAATCGTATCTTGTTTCGAAAAAAGGGAGTACAATTTTTTTAATGTGTACCCTCTTTTACAACAAACCGGATGTGGCCACTTCATTTAGAGCAGCAAGTGCTCTTAGAGTTTTCCAGGAAGCATTCATAATGAATAAGACAGAGGTTGGGGCATCCGCAGATCGTATGACTAACCCGCATTCTGTTTTCCCACTTCCCTTTCAGATGCTGAAGCACGTGCAAATCTCGCCGCTGCGAAATCGCTCCGATTCGGTCTCCCTTCGCTCCTCCAGCCACGCCTCCTCGTGCGCCAGCTCCATGTGTGGCAGCCCGGAGCCGCCTACGGAACTGCAAAGGACTCCATCGAGGGCCTCGAGCTACTCCAGCCTGAACGAGCAGCTGCCACAGGTGAGTCCCACTGGGGAAAGCTTACTGAAAGGCCCAACTCATGCGAAATTTCCCTCCAACAGACCACCATCAAGGTGTACACAAACTGCCTGAAGATCGACATCGAGTACAAGACCCTCGGGATTCAGTGGGACACCACCAGCAAGGAGGTGATTGGCCAGCTGCTAAGGCGGTAAGCAAATTGTTTTATTCTCATTTTTCGACGGGGCTTAATTCGATTTGCATTTGTTTACAGCCTCAAGATGCGCCACCGCGACCCTCGGCTATTCTACCTGTCAATGGAGGTGGCGGTGCGCCGTGCCGGGGTCAAGACCATCCTGGTCCTGGACGACGACACCCGGCCGGCCATCATGCAGGCCTGCCACCCGAAGGGCGAGTCACGCTTCTGCCTGCAACTGAAGCCGGGCGGCCTTATACGCGTCCACACCTCCGCCCTGCAGCCCAGCTCCCAGTACAAGTCGCTGGTCATCAGCGAAGAGACTACCAGCGACGAGTTGCTGCACCTGCTCCTGGGCTGCTACAGCTCACCCGAGCCCGTCGAGAGTTTCTCGCTCTACGAGGTGTGTCCCGGCCAGGAGTGCCAGCGGAAGCTGCACCCTGACGACTTGCCACTTCGAACCCAGATGGAGCGGATGAAGCGGGGCGAGGGCTGTCATTTCCTAGTGCGCCGGACGCCCAACTACGCCCGCCGCCGCCAACTGTTGGCCAACCTGAACGAGGCCATTGGCCAGGCCGCAGAGGCGACGGAGGATGCCACAAGTCTGCTGGAGCTCTCCCTGGAATCGGATCTGTCGCTCTCCGAGGATCTGCGGAGCTGCAGTAGCCGGGACAGCAGCGAGGATGCTGATGACGGGGATGAGGACGAGTGTGCCAGCAGTTCTGGCTCCTCGGACAATTCCACGGAGTGTGCTCTGCGCAGGGATTTCTACCAGACCACGCCTGCAGTGCCTGTCGCCCCCCAGTTGGCGGTGTCCGTGTCACCCGCTAGGGTCTACAGTCCGGTGTACAACATACGTGAGATCCGCACCGCCTCGCACTCGTTCTCCTCACTGGGCAAGGACAAGAAACTCCTGGACATTCACATGAACGCCCGCTTTGCGTCCGCCGGAGTCTATGGAAGACTGATGCCGGTGGCAGAGACCGAGTCCCAGAACCTGGATGGCAATCCCAGCACCAAACTCACAGCGGAGGTCGTCAACAACAATCCGGCCAAGGGACTGGGCCACTTCGTCTACCTGTAGCGAAGCAATTAGTCAGGAGTATGTACATAGGCAGGAGTACGCCGGTGGATCGACACAGAAGCCCCAAAACGAGTACCGTTTGGACCAAAGATGCATTTATAGGATTAGCTTAAGAGTGGGAAATGTAAATAGAAAGTGCACCTACGAATTAGATACTTTAAGATTAGTTAGGACTAGCCTAGTTTCTCCCACGCTACCAAGATACTTTAATGTAAAAGTAATGCAAAGAAACCAACTGCTAACAATCCCAAATCAAAGGAGTCTATAGCTTAACGCCTTAGTCGAAAACTAAAGCTTCGATAATAGTAAGAATCTGGACAGCTTGTGGCTGGCATTCGTGTATGAACCAAAAGATATTGTAATAATAAGAGCTAATTGTGTAACACCGAACTGGGACTTTGTTAATATCAATGGAGGCGCTTTAAGGATGCGAAGGGGCACTTACCCGGATTACGTCGGGTGTGGCGCGTTCTCCTGTGCATTTTAATTGTATTTAAATCAAGTTAAACACGTGGAAGCGACGCCAAATGGCCATATAAATAGGCCGCAATTAAGGCGTCCAGCCACGCAATTTGTGTTTCGGCGAATGGTCGGGTCCGGATTTTCGCCCTGTGTCTCCGTTCCGTGCCGGCTTACGGTGAATGATTTATGCGGCGTATGCGTAATTTTCAGAGCAATAAGCTTTTCTCTTTTAAATGAGCTTACCTTACATAATGATCGAGGGATTTTAACGTGAAAAGACTTCGAGAGGCGTCGGCTGGAACTGCACTCCCACTTCTGGAGGTGGCCTTCGGCGGGGCGAGCTGGTGCGAGTCCCTTTTTGCAAATTCATTAAGAACGGGTTGCTTTCGGGTCAAATTAAAAATCAACAAATTTCCCAATCAAATCCAGTTGGCAGAATCCTAAAATAATAGCTGCGCCCTGGGACGAGAAGATCCGACGAGAACGCTAAAAAGGGTTATGCTAGCCAGTTTCGCCAGAGTTTGTTTTGTTTTCGTCTGCTCATTTAGCAGAACTTTAAATCTCAGATTCGTACCCAAATTGAGTTGCGAAACTCATGAAAAATGCAAACTCAGTCGAGTCGGAAGGCCCTCGCCGCGGCTGTGCGAACGGAAGCGGAAATGCTAAACAGGCTGCTCTGCTCTGCTGGCCGGCGTAATAACTTAAGCACTTTATAAGTCGAATTTAAAATTTTCTGAGTAGAATCAGTTTTTGCCTCGGCCCTCTGCCTCGTTGCGGACTGCAGGCACCAGGCAAGACTGCAGTGCCTGCACTTAAGTTCCGGCAAAACTTCAGTGGCTGTTGCATTCGAGATAACTGTCTGTCATTCGGGGGCCGGGTATTTAGATTTCCAGCCGGAGAGTGTGTGTGGGCCATCTGTGCACTCATAAGTACGAACACATACGAAAAGTGGCCAGGCAACATATGATTTACTGTCGTTTTCCTGGGAGCCTGGTCGTTTCCCAGTATAGGCAGTGAAGCTGTTCCTTGGCTTCAGACCGACAACTAGGATCAAGCATCCCCCACCCCTGCTTGAACTTTTCCCAGTTAAAAAATGAAAGAAAATTTGAAAATAAAAATGCCTTACCAGGCGACCAGCACTGGACAGCAGAAGGACCCATAGGGATTGGCAGATACATTTTGTGCTCAGTCCAGCCAGCAGGCCGAGATGCAATCGCTCTTGGCCAGCAGCGAAATGGAAAGTTTCTGCCTGCAAGTTTTATTTGTCTTTTGCATTACACTCAATGTACTTCATTCAAATTAATTTCGAGAGCACACACACAGATCCGGCCCAAGTTTGGCCCTGCTGTCGGCAGTTGCCCAATCCCAAGTTGCTCCCCCGATCCAATGCCACTTGTTGGGGAAACTTGGCACCTAACTTTCGCAGGGTCTGCCCATGGCTGAGTGCGAACTTGCCTAAATGGCTGGGATATGCGCAAAGTTTGTGTTTGTGCAAGACCGAAACCCGAGCCAGAGCTGAATAAAAATAGCGTGTTCCTGGCCACAGCCGCTTGTCTAATCACCCACGCAACAGAAACTCACACAAAGCCGAATCAAAGTTGCATCCTGTAACTCGCTCGACTAATTGCCATAAGCCGTTAGGTAAATTTGTACACGCCTTCGCCGTCCCCTGGTCAAACTGTTATTTTTGCACAACTAATCGGATTAGTGGACATCCCGCCCACAGCCACGCCTGAGCACATGTTCGCCCCAGGTCCCCCTCCTTCCCGACATCCTCGTCCTCCTGGGCTTTGTTGCAATTGACTTCGGCGACTGGCGCAACTTTTCACTTCGGCGATTCGTAATCCATTCTACGCTTCCAGCTTGTGTCAATGGCTCAAGCACAGCAAATTAATTTCCACTGGCTCTGGTAAATTATGAGCTGTGGGGCAACCACCCTCTACACTCCTCACTACACTATCCGCCATGTTGGCATATTCAAATAGCAACTTTAGTGTCAATGAGTTAAGCTGCCTGGCGTTTTAATTAAAAAGCCATTGCATAAATTACTCGACATCAGCATGGGGCTTGGGTCCCGATCAATTATCAATTATGCCCCCGGCCCATTGTGGTAGTTATGGTAGTTATTAGGGAGGATTGAGCCCGTCCTCGGTTTCAATTTACCTAAATGACTAACCAAATAAAATGTATTTTTCTAATGGTAAAACATATATTATCCGGCCAAAGAGTACTTGCTTCGAACTCATGTTTCGGAGTTAAACGATTTCCTCTGAAAAGAACTCGTTAGTTGGATTCCAGTCAGGTTAAGGGAGTTAAAATACTGCAATTTACTATTCACTGGAATCCAACATACGATGGTATGGCAACAATTTTAAATGCTTGTACGGAAACAGTCAGTATGAATATTACCATCATCATTATTTATTTGAAGGGTCTTCAGCGAAACATCCAAAATCGAATAATACATAATAATAGCTCCGATGCCGAACTTTGTTTTTTAATGATCCATGTTGTAATGATCCATCGCGAATAAAAACGTTCAGCTGGACATGGCTACTTTGGCTCGAGTGGTGATCGATCGGTCAATCACTTATTTATAGGCTGGTTACAGAAAAAGGGGTGGCCTCGCAATCGGACACATTTGCAACGAGCTCAAATTGACTGCTCCGTCCGGAAAAACTTTTGAAATCCGCCAGCTGCTCCGACAACGGCAATGGCCAAAATAGTTTTAGGACAAAAGAAACGAGAAAGTAAATGTAAAGTAAAATTAAAGGGCTATGCTGTTATACAACGACAAAGTGATAATTGGGATCTGCGGAATGCCACGGTAGACGCACGTTGCACTGTTAGCCTGCTCTATCAATGGACTCCTTGAACAACTTTATTGATAACTGTAGGGAATTATCTAGCACATATATCATATCCACGTATTTTATCTGTTATACTTCACGAGATCTAATGCAACTCACTCAATTCAATTAATTAATGCGAATGTGGAAATATTTAATGTGAGAGAGATAAACGAAATTCCCAAGTCCGATTTCATGTCCCTTAGAAAGACCGCAAAAGTTTTTCGGATTTTTAAATTTATTAAAATTTGAATATTTAATTTGAGTCAATAAATCAAAGCTACTTCTGTTTGAATTTTATATTATTTCAAGCCAACATTTTTATTGGTTTTCTTTTAAAAATTAAATTGGCATTGCACCGATTCTGTTGCACTATAGCAGGAATTTATGAATGACCGCAGTTCGTCGTTAATTATAAGAAATGTTCCATAAACGGACACTCCCAGGACATTCGAAGTCCTTTTTCAGAAAATGGTTTGGCACAGTTTTTGGGACGCCCTTTGCATGGCAAAGACCTGCAAAAATAGGGTAAATGGATGAAAAGGAAACGTGAGAGAGAACAGGCAACGGAGAGAACAAACAACTAGTTCCAAGAGATTTTACGAAGATTTTTGGTTTTTAATTTGGACCAACGTCAGACCGTCCTGGTAATTGAGTTTTCGCTCGTGAATTTACTGCAGCGCTTCTCGGTGGACCTGCGAGCCTGTCAGCCCCGAGTGGGACACAAACTGCTGCGCTTAGCGAAAATGCAGTCTCCTCCTCGGTGTGTCATATTTTTGTTTTTGGCAGCCGCAACGGAGCGTGTTCTCTGGCTGACCAAAAAACTCCTGTCATCAGATATCGCAAGTCAGGTCTATAAAGAGATAGTGTATAAATTGCGGACGCTCTCGGTGGCAACCAAATTGCAAATGGACGTGAAAAGGCGGGTGGTCTGGGTGCCAATATCTTCTCCCATCCTCATTTTGGGAGTTCAATTGAATTTGTCTGTAAAGCTGAATCAGAGAATCCCTTCAAGGAAAGTAGGCTTTGTTAAGAAGGATGATCACGCAGTAACGATCCTTGCTGCTTTCTTTATTCGATCATACAGAGTCAATCTTAAATCATACCCTTACGCTAAGAACTAGACAGCCGTGCCCCTGGAGAGGCAGGCAAATTGATTTTACTTGGTTTTTGACTAGAAGTGGTCTTACTCTATCAATACAACTTGACACCGGCTAGGAGATAGCTTCGCCTTGGTTGCCGATTCGATCCGAACAGTTGGCCTTCGAAATCCCAATGAAATAATAGCTAGCGGAGCAGAAGTGGGTCCATCCCTCGGAGGACTGGGTCCTAAGTGCGTCGCCCGAAAAGCTTAAGAGGTCGCCTCCAGCCGCGGGGCCATCATAGCTGCTCGTTGCCGATGTGCGTTGTGTCCGTGGGCAGCGAGTGGGTCTACGGGGAGGAAACCGCGGACTGTTTACGGGGCTTTTGCCAGATGTCGGCAGTTGGGCCGTGGCCTAGCGAAGACACTCACCTGCAGCGCCTTGCGCTTGTGGTGCATCGAGGAGTTGGAGGACGACTTGCCCTTGCCCTTCTTCCAGGAGCAGAGCAGGAGCTCCTTCATGCCCTTCCGGAAATTGCGACTAAGGAAGGCGTAGAGAAGGGGATTTACGCCCGAATTGAAGTACGTGACCAGAAAGGTGAGCGGCGTTAGCAGCGCATTAAAATTGGAATCACCGCGATACGAACGTGACCTGCAAATGCATATACATGAAAATAACTATCTCCCCTTATATATGTATATATTATGTTCAGCACAATGTGTGTTCTGCGTGTATGCAAATGAGCATCTGTTGGACAAACATTGAACCGAGTTCTGTGGCCTGCCCCAAAGTAGATTACGATTTTAGAATTTCCCGAACTTGGCTGGTTAAAAGTGTTTCGCAATTCTAATTCCATTCACTCCTCCCAAAATAGATTCATTTCAACTTTCCACACCTCTTAAAAACCATGGGCGAAACTATAAACGAAATATCGTTACACACTGTGGTCCAAAGTCTTAATTAAAAGTCCATTTAAATTCAATCCAAAGCAAGCCCAGAAAAGCCCAGAAGGAGTCACCGTCTGACACGCAGGTACTAACTACCTAACCAGCAATTTCCGATGGATGTTCTCCAGAGAGAGATATTCCACATACTTTCAGTCACCTTTATAAGGGATTTGGAAACCTTAAGAGCTTCGAGTGAAGCAGGCTCAACCTCCGGAGAGGTGCCGACCAAGGTGCGGACTTTTGTCCACTTCAATATGTCCAGGTGATTAGGCAGCTGTTGGCAGTATTGTTTTTGGCCTTTTGGGGACAAAAAGCACTCGAAAACTTGCTAATGGAGCGGGGATTTCGGCCCAGAGCAAAGTTCTCCACCGCCTGCAAGTATGTAACGTAAACTTTCCCGAAACTTTTCACGCGGAAAAATATTTAAAGAAGAAAGGTATTTCCGTTTCGCCCCTTTATCTAAGCCCGGACAAGGCGAACTTTGCACCAACTGTCAAATTGTCCTGCAGTTGTCGCTCCCTAAAATTCGCCTTGCACTTGCAAGTGGCTCGGTTCGCAGAAGAGTTGGCTAACTGATTGGGCCACTTGAATGGCCTTCGCTTTGTTTTCGCCGCTGCTTGAGTCCTGAAGTGGCCTTTTGCCAACGGGTTTGCCCAGCTCCGGCAAAATTTAAATGCCAATCCGAAACTGGGACATAAAATTAAGAACCAAACTCTGGGTGGCCATTTGTCGACTCCTCACCCTGGAAGGTCTAATGAGCCGCACTTGCCAACTGCTGCCAGTTGACGTCGTTAACGTTATCACCGGACTGTCCCGGACAAAGGGTTTGTGAGCTAATAATGAAAACGTGGCACTCCACGACACCAAACCTTCTTGAATCTCCGCATTACGGTAGCGGGGACATGTTAACGCGTGGCAATTACTCGGACGTGTTCGTCTTGAGTAGCAATAATAGCAATGAGCTCGATAATGTGTCTACGGATTCAGCTATATTTAGCATCTGTGGAGGAGTAAGTACGTGTATAATATACTAAATAACGTTTTGAATAGCATATATTTTTCAAGTTCGAAACAAACACAAGAAGTACTCTTCTATTGCCCAATATACCTATAAATAATATTATAAGTAAAATAACTTTCATTATTTCGGTACCTAAAAAAAACCGAAGATTACCCTAATTCAGAAAATAACTAACATTATCCTGCACGTTCTGCGACAAAAGCAGGCAAAACCCAGAAGCAACGCTATAGCAGAGCGCCACGGCTATCAGATACCCCGTTACTCTGCTAACAGTTTTAAAATAATTATGTTAGCATCGACGTCGTGTAAAATGTTACTAGCGCCATCTGTGGCTCGAACCATAAAGGGAATGTTTATTAACTTAGGTGAAGTACGCGGCCAAGTGAGGCCTTATAAGTTATAACATAAATTACTTACTAAATTGCAAAAATATATTCCAGATAAACAATTTTTTTGCATAACATTAACAAAGAAGAATATTTAAAGTCGAACTAAAAATTAAATATAAATGTTAAGGACGCCGCGGTCTATAGTCCTCTAACGAAAACATCATTTAACTGCGCTTGAATCTCTTTAATATCGAAACTTTCTACCTCATCTAGCTCCCAAGATCTCAGCGTTTAGACAGTAGGACGCGGCTATATCCAGTCCTGATTAAAAATATGTGACCACCAACAGGACAGTTCCATCTTACAATATAAAGATCCCAGGCCAGCCGATTCTTCAAATAAATGAAAACTGAAATTCCAGACAAGTAAACAACTCTCGCAGCCCAGTCATGCCAGACATAAATCTCAATTATGGCCCTGTCGGGTAAGTGGGACTGCGAGCTGAAATGCCTTCGCTTTGTATTTGGCCAGAAATCATATACGAGTATATATAGTACGTTTCTGCCCGCCATACACTTCGCATTTGTGCGAATCGAGTGCTCGGAGTGCGGGCGGAAAGAGTCATGCGTTTCAGCTATTTTTCCCGCAGTTTAGAAATGAAATTAAAATAAACTTTCGTCGGGTCTGCCAAAAATTAAACGCAGCAACACAACAGCGAAATATTTAATTACACCTTGTTACGAAATTTCACCTTTGCGAGGCATTCTAATGGGATTTGCCGATCTAAATATATGTTTTAGTGCACTGAAATTAAAACTGTAATCACGAAGATGGGGATACCCGAGATGGGGTTCGATCCCTATTGCGTGTTGAATTTTGCTGTAATTAAATTCGCTTCTACTGGGACAGAGTTCGGAAATGATTAGATAGCCACCAATATCGGGTCATTTAAAGATAACCTAAAGTTAATGAATTCATTGCCTAAGAATAATGCTAAAACTAAAACTTAAAAAAGAAATCTAGTCCGGTTCTTCTAAGTTTAAGATGTTTTCTAGAGCAACGGTGCTATGAACCTCTGTTTGCTTTCTTGCGACTTTCCAAATTGAAAAGCAGGGAAAGCGTTTCCATTTATGCTGAATAAGTAGTGGGAGCAATGCTTAAGTGCACGTTTTTCACTTTATCCAAGGACCAATTAACTCCTACCCGATTTAGCTCGTCGCCCGACTGCAAACAACACCCCCACCGCCCAGACAGTTTCCCAGGACCGCCCACGAATTACTCCAGCCAAGGAGGCCAAAGTGCCCAAATTCAAAGCGACCCGCCCATTGCAAATGCCCCACCGGAACCGGAACTGATAGCCAAAGGGCTGGTTAAACCGGACTTTTGTTGGTCTCCGCTTTGATTCAGGGAAGAAAGTGAATCTTTCGTCTTTAAAACAAAATTGGATTGGCAAAGGGAAGTCCGTTGCAAATCGATTTGGCCCACAGGCAAAGCTGGCAGGGGAATACCATTGATGACTTAATTGTTTACCAGCCCCGATTCCAGCAGGAAGCCATCTCGGGCTTATCTGCCCACCCGCAGATGTTAATTTCCCGTCTATCGGCCGAATATGCAAATGTCCGCCGATTCCCGGTGCAGTGTGCCATAAAATATTGTTTGCGTCCAGTCCATGTGGACTGATGAATGGTGTGGGGCGGGGGAGCTGGTTTGGGCTTGGGGTTGGACCTGATGGTGTGTCAGCTACTCACCAGTACTGCCACATTTTGCGGGCATGATACGGCAGATTACAGAGGGCGAATGTCAGCACGAATATTATCAGCATACGGACGACGCCTCGCCGGGCGCGGAGGACATTGCTGGACGAGTGGGACATGTGGGAGGCTCCGGCCCCGGTCCCGACCCCGCCTCCGCCTACGCCTCCTGCGGAGGTGCCTGTCCGCAGGTGGTGGGCGTGGGAGTGGTGGTAGAAGCTCGTCTTACGGCAGGCACTGACAATAGGGCGATCGGCCTCCAGGGACACCTGCACAGATTAACAGGTGTAATGGCATTAGGGTTGTGGCCTCGGCAGCCGCGTGGGGCACTATCTTATCGACTGTGGTATTTGATTACAACCTACCTTGCAATTATCAAGCTAATTTGTGGTGTTGTCGTGTGAGGTAGTTGTTAATTGGAGGGTTAGAGGGGGAGGGACCAAAAGTATTGTTGATCAAACGAAACGTAGAGAGAGAAAAGAGTTCAACAGAAAGATAGTTAAGTTGTTATCTGTGGATCAAGGCGAGAGGGGCTTAAGCTTGGGAATAGCAAAAGATAGTATGAGGTTAATCGAGGTGTTCTTCTAATTGAATTGTGTTCCCCTAACCAGCTTGTTTTTCTTTCTATTACTTTTTTATCCGACTCCTAAAGAAACATTCCATACTTTCAGCAGTGCTTCTTGACACTTGATAGGTGGATGGGAGGTGAAAGTTCAAGGATTAGAAGTCTCTGGTTTTCAAACTTGCTGCAGAACTTTGCCGGATGTCACCGCGTCACAAACTCTCGATTTCATATATACGGACTTTGCTGATGCTGATTTAGAACAGCATAGCTCCCAGGTGTGTGCAGGTGTGTGGCTAAGCTCCTGTCAAGCTCGAAAATAAGAAATACGTCGAGGTGCAGCGCCAATTGAACCTGCTGTCCGGCTAGCAATAATGGAAAACACTTTTGCCATAACTTTTGCGCCTCCCCTGCAGTTCTGCTAGGTGGTTTATTGCTCCACTCCACCAGGTGTCACACTGCTGGCTGAGTTTGTGGCTGGGTCGGCGATAGTCTTAATGTGAATTGACACCTGCTCCGAGGACCGTGCTACTTGGCCCGGCACAATTGCGGGATAAAATCTCCGGGGAAAGTTTTTACGACTGAGAGCTTTGCCGGCTACTAGGTATCTAATAAATTAGTGACCGAATAGCGATGTAACTTCCTAGAAGCAATATTTACCGCATGGCACGTACCGCTTCAATCGGAGCTAAAGCCGTTCTGGCCAATTAGGGAGCACAGCTCCGACCCGACTTTCCATTTATTATGTTGGATAGGCTCTCACCTCCGAAACTCCTCCTTCCCAAACTGTTATTTCCCGAAATTTCTCGGAAGCATTGTTTACGTGGGAGCTCACCTGACTCTCCGTGATGCTGACGCCGCGCTTCTCATATTTACTGCTCTGCTTGCGGGACAAGGACGTAGTGCTGGTGCCGCCGGCGGAAGCGAATGACGAGCCAGCCAGAGGGCCAGATCCCGCCGAGGACGCTGCTGACGCCGCTGACGGAAGCTGGTGGTGCTGATGGTGGTGGTGGTGGTGCTGGTGGTGGTACATGCTGTTGTGCATACCCATGCCGCTGTCCTGACAGGATGCCTGCTGTGGCTGTTGATGCTGTTGATGCTGATGCTGCGCCACATGCGGCGTGAGGCCGCGCGAACTGCGCCACAAGGCTATGGCGATTTTGCTGTACAGCACCTAAAATGCAAAAGTTTCGCTAATTTCATTATTCAGATTCATTCAGGGGCAGTCTTGTCCTTAAATCGCTTATCAAGTTGAAATTTTATTAGTCGAATTACATCTACAACACAACGTAACTAGCTCAGATCGTCCGCATTTCCAAAATGGGTTTTACGTTCGGAAAACTTACCGTCATGACCAGCAGTGGCATAACGTAGAGCAGCACAAAGTTAATCATGTCCAGCAACTTGGAGTTGAACATCTCGCGGTCCAGGACGCAGATTTCCTCCTCCTGACCATCCTGGGTGTGAATGTTCTTAATGGTCTTGCTGAAAACAAACTTGGGCGTCGAGTATACTGCCGATGTAATCCAAACTGTGACAATGACCATCTGCAAGAAACACGCATTGACGTTTTGTTTTGTCAGAGCCTAGGCAGCCAAACACGCAAACAATTTGTTAAATTGCGAATGAACACACAGAATTTGCATGTTAATGGTCGGCCCATTCGGTTGTCTTTATGTCCCTTGTAGTTTAATTAGGGCCATCGTCATTACCGAGCCGGATTTTTTCCTGACAGTGTGTAATTCCCCCTGAAATCGGAATGCCCGGGCTGGGTTGGGCTCCCCCCGCGTCCTTGGGATGGGCGGCCGAGCCCGAGAGCGGAAAAGTTTCCCAGCCGCAAAGTTATGCCCATGGCTTATTAAGCCCTTCGAGACGGGTCTCGGTCTAATAAGTTTCATTAGCTTGCAAATGGTATTCAAATTGAGTTATCAAACTTGTCGAAATGACTCAAAAATAAAGGCTAAAGGGTACGGCCGTTTAGGGTCCACAAGTGCAATATCTGTCCTTGTTTTACTTCAGCAATAGTTATAATTACAATTATTATTATTGTTATAATGTTATTCTACTATACTCTATACCTTATTATCATGAACATTTAACTCTGATCATGTTATCCGACTTACCCTCAGCCGGGCGGCAGTTAAGATCTGTTTGCAGGTGATGGGATGCACTATGGCGAAGTAGCGCTCCATGCAGATGACAACCAGGATGAAAATCGAGGCCGTGTAGCTCAGCGAATGGACAAACTGGTACATCCGGCACAGGAACTCGCCAAAGACCCAACTGAAAGGATAGGGCACAAGCTGCAGATTTAATAATTATTTATGCGAGAAGTTGTGCCCTTTAAAGAGCACTGCTCGGATTTAGGAGAAGTGTCGGGGCCAAATTTAGGACCAGCCACATAAAATTTTACGACCCGCCAGCGAAACTAATGCGACATTAAGGTGTCTTTAGTATTTTATGGGGCGAAAAGCTTTTCCTTTTTTATTATTATTCTGCCTGAAATCACATTAGAAACCCGAATTTCTGCCAAGGAGGCGGCGAAAGTTATTTTCCGTTATTGGCAGCATCACGGAATTCGAATGGTGACATCTCTCGAGCGTTAAAATGTTACCAATAACGCTGATGCTGTACCAAATGAAGGACGTCTTAGTCTTAATAGTTAACGGTCTTAATCTCCGCGAAGTAAAAGAGCTCAACAAAAACCATAGCCAAGAGAAAATATTTCTGTTTATTATATTTTCCACCTTGTATTCTTTTCAAGATGCTTCCAGGCCTGCCTCAACTCCAAAGATTCCCAGGTTGATATTGGAAGATGTTCTTCGAAATCTCATTTCCATATCATTTTGACAAGATCATTAAGATAAAATATGCCAAGCAAGGATTGGTAACCTCTATTATCTCTGCCGGAAAATCCTACAGGGATGCAATATTTAAAACATGCTAAAAATTAAATGGATCAATCACATAGGAATATGCAATAAGGCAAATAAGATGGGCAGGAAAGGTTTTTGTTAAAAATCGAATATTTCTTAAATTTTTTAAATTATAGTGTTTTCATTTTTGCTCAGACAGATACGCTTTAAAATGTAATGACTGAAGGTGCCACGGCCACTGTTTGGCCTTTCTTCAATTAACAGTGTTTTATTTTGTTTTCATACTATAGCCCGGAAAATCGCTGCATATTTCATTGTCCACTTTTTCCAGCACAACTTTTTGTCTCTTTTCCAGGCTGCCGTGTTCGTGTGCTCTTTATATGCGCACGTCGCTGCGACGTGTTTTTTAAGAAAGTGAAGGAACACAATGCAAATAAACATGATTGGAGTGAAAGTGGAGCACTGACAAAAGGCTGGGGAAAGTGTAGTTTCCGTATCTTCCGTTTCTGACGGCTGCTGTAAATGTTCCACTGGGTAAAGGTGCCACTTGGGTGTCGCATTGTCCTCGACGCTAGTGCCCAGAAATCAGCTAGATCTGGCTACGTTAAATGTTTTACGCTAACCGAGAGCGTAAAATGTTTAAAAGGCGCAGGCGAACTCACAGTTAAAGATATTACAGATTTGGTTTTGAGCTTTAAAGAATTGGTTGCGGAAGAAAGCAAGGGTTGACCATAACAAATTTTAAAATGCCAACTTAACATATTATTATATAATGTATAACAATTAACTCTACCAATTATAGTGATAACTAGGCACTGACTTTTAATTTCAAATGCTGATGCTTAACGCTTGATAATTTTTAGCAAAGCTCCACGAACTTTACGACGACTATCATAGCCTTTATAAAGTTTTAATAAAAAACAAGAAGAAACGCTATAGTCGAGTGTCGCGACTATAAGATGCCCCTTACTGTTCTACACAATTTTAAACTATTCATTTTGCTAGTGAAAAATCACAAAGCGACACCTATGTCACAGAAACCATGTTGAGTAGAGACGTCCCTGCCCATGTGAGTCCTTAAAACCTATACTTCTTCATAAGTAGCGAAATAATGATCTGATTTGAACAATTTTTTTATTTTTGGTTTTCCGGGTTTTGTGGCGTTCCGACATTTCAATCACCTATAGTTGAGCTTGGCGGGCATCGTGGTCGTGGCTGGATGCTGAAATAAACTTATGATGCTTAATCTCAGCTGTGAACCTCTTTTAGTTTCTGAGATCTCAGCGTTCACACGGACAGACGGACTACCGGACCACTTCGCTATTGATCCTGTGCAAGAATATATAAACTTTATAGGGTCTAATATACCCTTTTACTCTACAAGTAACGGGTATATTTAAAATTTAAGGTTGACGTTAACGATTGACGAACTTTCTACTAATAAAATTGAACATATATCTTCGGGTTCATAAGACAAGTCTAACTATTAAGTGTAACTATTAACTATTACTATTTTGTGGTTCTCGGGACAAATCGATATGGAATTCGGGAGAGTACTGATCTTATTCCCTCGGCTTGTTTGACCGCTACTCGAGCATTATGCAACAGCACCTGAACACAACAATACCCTCCCAAGTGCCTCTCACCTCTCTATGAGATAGATGGACAGGTTCTGCATCACGCAGAAGAGTCCCACGCAAAAGTCTGCGAACGCCAAGTTGGCCAGGAAGAAGTTGGTGATTGAGCGCAATCGACGCGATAATGTGACCACCAAAATTACCAGAAGGTTTCCTGAAAGAGATAAAGTTGCAGTTTTATAAGTTCAATATTTAAATAGCCATTTGTAAGTGATTTTAATTAGTGTCGGTAACCTCAAGAGCAATCCCTATAACTACCAATTCTTAATGAAAAAATGATCCTGTACCACCCATGTTAGCAAGTCTTCTATCATAAGCTCCTTCTCATGGAGCTATATATATATATTATATATACATATATTCAAAAATTTATACTAAAACCCAGAAAGAGACTGTGGCCAAAATGCACTTTAAAGCTCAACTGGCTCACCTAAATAATAATTGTAGTTTGGACAATATTTCAGGCTTAACTCGCATTACTCTTGCGAAAAGACCTCGCAAACAGGATTACTTTTCCATTCCTGTTTATTAAAATGAAGTGATAAATAATTCAAATATTGCTACCATCTAATTGCTAATAGTGATAAATATCTATAGTTTAAAAGTGAAAGTAATCGCAGCTCACACTAATCGCCTAGCAGCATCCCTGGCCATTCCAACAGTTAGAAGAAGACTAAGCGAAGGCACCCCGCCGATCTCTGGGCAAGAGGACGACGAGTCATTAGAAGTAACTTAAGATAATATTGATCTCTTGGTTAACACATTTGATAGTCACCTCCGTGCTTTTTAAGTTGGCAAAAGCAACCCGGTATATGGATATAAGCGTGTTTGCTTTACATTCCTTGTGACAATCAGCATGTTTCTTAATTCACAGAATAAAATAAAATAAATATGCCCTGCAATAGTTATGCAACTTAGCCTATAATTTGTATCGTATTTGATGTGTTTTACAGTAGAATGGGCCAGAACGAAACATTTTATTTTGGAGCCTCACATGGCGAACAAATGTCGAGAAAAACTTTTTTAATTACACAGGGCAGGGTGTCGGGAAATGGGAGAACAGACAGAAAGTCAGACGAAAAACCATGCTGAGCTCCCAAAAAATACCGAAAACGTGCAACACTCCGAGGCGTGCTCTGAAATTCGACACCAAGGATGGAGGGCAGCATCGGGGCTTTTAAGAGGAGCAGCAGTTGGCTCAAGCTACACAGGTACATAACTGCACGTAATGAGTATATGAGGGTATATGTCGACAAACATGTTCTTTCGATTTAAGAAACTAAAAAATATCTCTATTACAGTGGGCATGGTTAGTTTTCTCCAATGCACCCAAAGCACTCCAGCCCCCCAGAAAACCTCCTTGCCCAGAGTTACACTAGATCGGTGTCCTGTTTCCAGGGCTTCGCCAGTTCGTAGGGGTAACAAACATTTGCATTGAAAAGGACAAAAAGTAACTTGTTCTAGTGACAGCAACAGAGAAACATCCTAACGGAAGCTTAAGCGTGACTGCACGATGTAAATTTACAAATTTAAGGGGGAGTGGAAGGCTGCACGTCCGACTAGCCCGAGCTGCTTACATTTTGCAATTGTCCGCACAATGCCCGACTACGCCCACGTCTGTGCCTAATGGGCGGCTGTTTGTCGCCACTTGGAATAGCGGGTACACATGTTCCTCTCCTTTATTGTGGATGCTGGTGTCACTGCGGCAATAAAGCCTACAACTGCCACGACCGAGATTGGTCGACGCCCGCCGACGCCCAATCGAAGGACATACCATAATTGATTCTAAACGACCGGTGCCAGATAAGACGAAGGACACACGATTAAGGGACATCACATATTTATGTGTGTCTGCCTGCAGTCAAGCATTGCAGAAACAAATAGCGGACGCCTTAATGAGTGCTATCAATTAAATGCTTTCATTTTAATGTGCCACATGGGGCATATGAGTGTCCTTGACTGCCCAGGTTTGCGGCAGGAGAGGGCACACTATACCAAGTAAAAACTGGTTTTTATTCTCCCAAAATAGCATGTTGGGACTTGGCTGAATATGGCATCCAATATATATAATATTATCACTTGTTCCCCCGATTTGGAGTTTGGAGTGGACTTAGCCAATTCGTTCCGAAATTCGGCGAGGGGGTTAATACAAAACCTGAATATCAAAAAACTTTGTTGCTACTGCAAATGGAAAATGGAATATGGCCATCACTCCCTACATACTACAAGAAATTTTAATTAATTATAAATAGTTTTCAAGCTCATTAATCAGGCACGAGACCTATGTTGTATTTGAATGATGGGACACAAAGGTCAACTCAAAGTTGTTCTATAAAAAGGAGTAGGCTCCCAGACCTGGGAGCTTAACCACCGTGCTTATGGACACTGTTGGATCAATTAAAGTACGCCGACTGTGTTCCCAATTTGACTGTTTGCTTTTTTTACAGTCAGAAGTCATTCAAACAGCCTGCAATGACTACCATGCTTAGCTGTGGACAAAATGGAAAAGAGGAAAAGCCTCAAAGTACTTCCATCGTGGCCTGGCAGACTGGACAAGACCAGCAGAGCATTGAGTAATTGGCAAGTCAGCAGTAAGTTCTCCCGTCCTGGCCGACCAGGCGCACCGTCCCCGGGGGAACCGCAAAGGCCAGTAGGCAGTTTTCTTTACAATCGTGTGAGCTTCGGTCGTCCTTATGCCCCATCAAACTACATGCCGGCAATCAAACATAACTCCGAGCTAGGCCTGATTAATGAGAACAAAACCATGCATCTGAATACACTGCAGATATGAAGAGAGCGGAAGGAACTTTGCTGGGCAGTAGATACCCTTCTTCAGAACTAGAGGAAAATGTTCCTCAACCGTGCTTCTGAACTCGAACCTCTAAAAAATATTATACCTACAGCAACGTAAAAGGCGAAGTAAGTTTAAAAAACCAAAATAATTTAGCTGTGCTGTCTATGGCTCTGTCTTGGCCCTTAGGACATAATCGTCAGTTTCACGTCGGACATGCCTTTCTTCCATCTCTGACCAGCTTTGTGCTACTTACCAAAGAAACAGCAGCAGAAGACCAAAGTGTACAGGGTGATGAATATTATGCGCACGTCGGTGCGATCGAAGATATATTCGCTGGCCTTCTCCGCGTCCTCCTCGTCCTCGACATCCGCATCACTTCCGACCCCGGAGAGACTGGTGGTCCCGGCAAGAACGGGGGGACTGGTGGTGGAGTCGCCAGGGAGCAGTATGTAATCGGTGCCGTTGATGGGCATACTGTCCGTGGCAGCGGTGGTGGTGGAGATATTGGCGGACGATGTCAGGGCAGAAATCGAGAGCAGGGTGAGCAGCACTGTCCAGCCGGAGAGGGGGGGTCTCCGGGGATTCTGCTGTCCGGTGGGTGGGCGTGTGCGGTTGCCGCTGTCGGAAGGCGGAAGTGCTAAGATTCGTAGGGCAGATTTGGCTGCCGTTGTTTTCATTATGCACCACCCCGTGGCTGGCATCGTCATTATCGCTGTTATAGTCGTAAGCCGCCGATGTGTTTGCCCCATCAGCTGGCCATCGTTGTTTATGTTGTTTTCGTTGTTCCACTTCCGATTCCTGTTGCCAGGACCTCGATGTCTGCATCAGCATCATTGCGTGCGTGAGATGTCGACTCCTCAAGCCGCTGATAATGGACGCATCTGCAAGGAAAAGAAGAAAGTGCGGGCAATGTTAGCTCCTTTAATCAGTACTTGGGGCCGCTTGGATATGTTCATGTCGAAATATTATGGTATTTAGTATGCGTGCTAGAATTGGTATTACAACGGAACTACAAGAATGTAACGCTAGGATCTAGTCCAATCATTCCACCCTCGATGTCAGAAATGTCTTCTGATCAAGGGTTTTCTCATTTTTTATTGCTTCATTTTTAATCGAATTACTTTTGAAAAGATGTGTGTGATATGGCGGTATATAACTATTCAATATTGATCTAATTCTTTTCATTAACTATCCTTCATGAAGCCTTCATACTAACTCCATATTTGTTGATGGTGGATCTAAGTGATGGCCAATGAAGAATTCATCAACACAGATTTAATATTAACAGCAGCAGATCAAGGCCAAGCAGCAAATTTGAAGTATTCCGATAAATATTTAATCAAGAAATAATAAGTGTAAGAAAGGACATAGATGTTATGGGAAACAAGTCCATGTATATAAGTTTTCAAAACATTTCAAAGGCTAACTGAAGTCAGTTTTTTCCTGTTTTCAAAAGAGCCTTCATGGGATCTAAGTACAAGGAAATGTTTGTTTTAATTTACAGGATTCTATCACCGATCTTCTTTGTGGTTTCTAGTTGATAAAGATTTTTTAAGTATTTCACACAGATTGGATTGCTGGCTATGTTGCCACATAAGTCTATCTAATCTGTCTATCTAAAGTCGTTTCAATGTATCCCCTCGTATTCGCAAATTAAGCTTGAGAGTCTTTGAGTGGCGCAATATTAATACACATTTAGTACAAGTTTCTTGGTCCTAATCGAGGACCCATGTTGCCAGGGATGGCTTTAGTTCATTAACTGCGGAGCCACGTCTCTTATGTCTTGCAGCAAAATCGAACTTGAGCTCAAATCGCGGCGTGACATTCTCCTTGGACCGCCTCCCCAAGTCCGTGGAGTGGGAGTGGCTTTTTAATTAAGCCGCCTTTAATAACGAACATAATTAAAACATTTGTCTGCCAAAGCGGACATGAGCCCCCGCCAAAAAAAGAAATTATCGTTTTCCATTTGCCACGCACGCAAACACAGCCCCCTCTCGGAAAAGTGTGCTCATATCTCTGATGGCTCTATTTTTAATATGCACTGCGCTTTGTTGCTAATTACGCGAGTGCAGTTGGCAGTATCACAGACCACACCCCACCCACCCACTACCCCCCGGTATTTGCAGCTTTGATTATTGCTCTCTGGGCTTGTGTACGTGCTCTAATTAATAGACATCGCATGCAAACACTCTGCATCAAACACTAGCAAACATAGGGGCTGTCGAGTAATTACTGCTGCTGGATTGTTACGTCTCCGAGTTATGAGACACTTCCAGACGTGTCTCGCACGCCATGTCTTAGGATTAACACTGTTGCTAATCATGAATAAATAAAAACAAAATAAAACAAGAAGAAACGCTAAAGTCGAGTGCCGCGACTATAAGATTCCCCTTACTGTTCTACACAATTTTAAACTATTCATTTTGCTAGTGAAAAATCCCAAAGCACCACCTATTGTCACAGAAAGCATGTTGAGTAACTGATAGAGTCGTCACTGCCCATGTGAGGCCTTGAAACCTAAATTTCTTCATAAATTTGGTAAATCGATATTATACACTATAATATAATGGACGCCATAGTTTACCGCGGCTTGTGGGCCTTATAAGGCGTGGCAAGATGCTAAAACTCTGTATCTCTTATAGTTCCTGAGATCTCAGCGTTCATACGGAAAGACGAACAGACGGACGGGCGGACGGACGAACGGACAGACGGACAGACGGACATGGCTCAAACCACTTCACTGTTGATCCTGATCAAGAATATATATACTTTATAGGGTCGGAAACGCTTTCTTCTACCTGTTACATACTTTTTAACGAATCTAGTATACTCTTTTACTCTACGGGTAACGGGTATAACTAGTGTATATGACTGACTTCTCTAATAATGTAGTTCAGGAAATACCAATAAATGTCATTTTTCAAATTACAAATTGTTCACAGCTACCGCTCTTACTTTGATGTCGACAAAGTTGTACACTCACGTCATCGATAATGTTGTTTTCCCTAAACCTAATAAATAAATTTCTGTTTTAAGACACTTTTGATATGTCAACATGCCAACACTGAATAGAGAAAAGTAAAATAAATTGTAGGCCATAAAGACTATGGAAAAGAGTGGGCGTGGCAAAATTACCTATAAGACAAAGTGATATTATCTTATCTGATTTTTAAATTGAATTAAGAGAAGTCCTCATTTATAAGTTGCAACATGACTTTGGTCTTTCAATCCTTCCAAACGTGGCATTACAAGTTGGTTTAGTTGGTACATATAGTATAAGTATCAGCATCACATAACTACCATATAGTTATAATTAATAATAATAATATAAATAATTATAATAATTTATAATTAACTATCAATTTATGACACTTCGATTGGGGTCATCGGTTAGAAAAAGTCGAATGGATACTTATCGATGGATTGTACTTTTAAAGCAAATACTTAAAAATTAAACATTTTGAAGAATCCTGACCAAGGGAGTCGGTGCAGAGGCTCGGTGGTAAAGGAAACCGTCAAGTATTAGATAGGACACTGAAAATATAATAGTCCTTTAATATGAAAGTTATTCAAGTTTCAAGGAATTGCAACTAAATTCCAACCCGACTTAGTTTAAGCAAACACCGGGATGCCTAATAGCTGCAGAAGTTTAACAGGAATCACATCGTAAATTCCTTACATTGCTTGCTAGAATGTTCCTTTGGCTTCCTCCAACTGCAGTTAAACGCCTTCCAAGGAAGCGGTGGCGAGAAACGGGAAGGCAAAATGAGAAAGCGGGAAGAGAGTGTCGCACTGTTGACGACTTCCGGAGCGGAAATACGGAAATTGTTTGGTGCTTTAATGAGCCGAGCAGCTTTGAGTGTGACTGGGTACTTGCAGCCGCTAAGGAGCCCTAAGCCTGAGACAAATGAAAACTGACGTTAGCCGGGGCTTCTGCGTCTAAACTGATTTCCCTGATACTGATTTAATTAAAAACCAGCAGCCACTGCAAAGAAAGCTGCCTTTCGACTCTCTCCAATGGCCTTAAGTGCTTCCTCATTCCTGCGATCTGAGTTTTATCGCAAAAAAGGATATTATTCTCAAATTTTAGTTCCTCTTGAATTTTATAATTCGGTTATTTTGCTACCAATGTATTCTAAGTAACTACCTAATTGATTGATAAAACCACTTAACGAGATGATCATGATGACAGGATCAGGAATAGCCCAAATGAAAAATGGAAAAATATTTCCGAAAATCCTTGGGTAGCCGTGTCATTTTTGTTTAAGTCAAGTGAAAGAGAGTGAGATTTCCATGGGTGAAGTGCAAAGAGAAAACATAAACAGAACTTAAATCAGCAAGAAAAATGGTGTAATTTGTTCGTGCAGACAGAAAACAAATCAGGAAAAAGGAAAAGTCATTACAACTTGCTCACATGGAGAACAAATTGCAGAAAAACATCATTCCCCTTTGCAGGGTAGGCGACAGCAGCCAAAATTGCAGAATGCGAATTCATGTTGCACTCAGTTGGCAGCGTTTACAGCCGGGCGGGCAATCGGAATTCGGGTCCCATTTTCCTATCTTCCAGCCACTATCCCCACCCTGCTGCAAATGTTTGCGTAAATTGTGCCCAAGTAAGGACATTAGGTGGTAATTGAGTGTGCCAACGAGAGCCAAGTGAAAAATGCCTTCCCACTGCGTCAGCTCTTTCCGTGTGCCAGACATGTGAGTGAACAGCGCCGAATGGAGCCAGGAACACTGTTGCCAAGGCTCCGGAGAGGATGTGGCTACCACAACCATGATTTATTTGCTGAAGAGCTTTCAAGATTTTTGGCAAGCCAAACATCGAAATTAAATAAGCGCCCATCTCCATTCTGGCTTGTTATCATCTCCCATTTAGAATCTGTATAGCTCCACGGCTCACTTGGGATCTCTCGCAAAAATGAGTAATTATACCCACTATTCGTTGGGTAAACTCAGGTTATACTCTTCAGCTCTTCCAAAGGATGCATGTAATATAAGAAAAATATCATAGAAATCTCGGAGACCAGGAGCGTTAGAGAAGTGAGGTTTAAGCTTGCTCATGGTGGTATCTTAATGCTGCTGTTTCTCAATAAGTTTGTCCCTTTCTCACGTGTTTTGACATTTAAGTTTGCTTTATTCTATAAATAGATTTTAGCTCCTTAAAGTCGAAGCACTGGACTGTAGTTGAAGCAATCAAGCCCAAGTACTTAAGATATTCGATTTCATTATTTCTTAAGTTAACTATGTAACGTTAATTTATATTATTTTAATTAGGAAATGCCTATCCTATTAAACGAACAGCAAGGAACGTTCGTCTTTGGTAAATTGTAGAGTAACATACCCAAGAGCGACTATAATTTCAAACAACCACACGACTTAATAGAAGAAATGGTTAAAGGGTGCACCAACTGTTATTTGTTATCTTGAAAATGTATTTGAAATTTCCATCACCTGGGGGCTTAAATGAAAAGTATTACTGTCTTATTTAAGAAGTTTCTAAGAAAGTCCCATTTTCCCGATAGGCATTAGTCGAGTACCCAAAATTAAAGCAAAGTTTCTAGCCTTCAAGTTTAGCTCGGCTCATTCGACTCTTGGCTATTGTTCACCATCAAGAATGCATATCCCTTATACGGTAGAAAATCATTTCTTTCATCTTCTATACAGTATGATCCAAGCGTAAAGTTTTAGAATCCCGCAGAGTCTGAAAACGGTAAAACTAGAGGAATCCTCAGAATAACATATTCACAGCACAAAATGCTTAAGTCAGTAAGTTCGGATTTGGAATGTTGGTTAGATAAAAAAATACTAGCTAGTAACTTGTTAAAGTGGTCTGAACTGGCAAACATTTTTTGTTTGGAGCATTGTGACCACAATATTT